AGCTCCGTTTTAGCTTAGGCTAACATGTTGTGTGTGTGCTGTGCCCATGACGTCTTTTGCATCTTCTCTGTTGTGGGCCCAGATCCGAATTCGCTTAGGTTTGTGGGTAGTCAGGACACCCACTCGTTCATGCCAAAGAGGCGTCTCCGAATGACTTTTTTCTTTGGAAAAGAAAAATCCTGAAATCTCTGAATGAGTTGGTAGCTCTCCAAGGTTGTCTCTCCTGATCTTCAGCAGAGACGTAACCTGGTAAAGTTTCTCTGAAAGCAGATGGATCTCCAGAGCGGAGGAAACTGTGAGGTGTGCAGAAGTTAATATCTCTGCAAACAAAGCGATGCTCTTTTTTTTTTCACATATTCTGCACATGAAGTTGTGGTTAACATTCTCTCTCTCTCTCTCTCCCTCCCTCTCTCTCTCCTTCCCTGTCTCTGTTCTCTCTCTCTCTCCTTCTCTCCTTCCCTCTCTTTCTTCTCTCTCCTTCCTCCCTCCCTCTCTCCCTCCCTCTCTCCCTCCCTCTCTCCCTCCCATCTCTCTCCTGTCTCTCTCTCCCTCCCACCCCTCTCTTCCATTCCTTTCCCTCTCTTTCCTTCCCTCTCTCTCTTCTCTCTCTCTCCCTCCACCCGCTCTCCCTCCATTCCTCCCCTTTCTTGCCTTCCTCCTTCCTCTCTCTTTCTTTATCTCCCTCCCACCCCCTCTCCCTCCATTCCTCCCCCTCTCTTTCCTTCCCTTCTTCCCTCTCTCTTTTCTATGTCCCTCCCACCCCCTCTCCCTTCATTCTTCCCCCTCTTTCCTCCCTCCTTCCCTCTCTCTCTTCTCTATCTCCCTCCCAACCCCTTTCCCTCCATTCCTCCCCCTCTCTTTCCTTCCCTCCTTCCCTCTCTCTCTTCTCTATCTCCCTCCCACCCCTCTCCCTCATTCCTCCCCTCTTTCCTTCCCTCCTTCCTTCCCTCTCTCTCTCTTCTCTATCTCCCTCCCACCCCCCTCTCTCATTCCTCCCCTCTCTTTCCTTCCCTCCTCTCTTCTCTCTTTTCTTTGTCTTCTCTTTCTCCCCTTCCTCTTCTCTCTCCCTCTCTCCCTCTTCTCCCCTTCCTCTTCCCTCTCGAGAGAGAGTGAGAGAGAGAGAGAGAGAGAGAGAGAGAGAGAGAGAGAGAGAGAGAGAGACTGAGACTGTAGATGCCTTTACTCCAGAGAGAAAACAGTTGATCACCTCCAATTTTTTAAGGTATGAATTTCATTAGTCTGTAGTTTTGGAAACTCCATGGTATTCCTACAGATCCAGTAGCTAGTAGTCCTAGATGTCATGCAGGCAAGTCAGAAAGAGTTGTTTTGCCTACCCTCTTGCCTTAAGACCCCTGTGGAGAGCCCCTGTTGAAATGCTGAAAAAAGTCCCAGGAATGGCCAAAGAGCATTCAGCAGGAAAAAAAAAAAGAGATGGCTTTGAAAAATGTTCGTGTTAGGACCGGATTGTGAAAAATGGCAGCAATTGCAGACTGTTTTCTCTGTGATGGATCATTCCAGGGTGTTAATGATTTTTCATTGATTGGATCTTGGTGGACAAGAAACTTCCTTTGAGAGAACTGGGTGTTTATACTGTACATCTGGAGATGGAAAACAGTCTTTCTCTAAGCAAGACGTTGAGGTTAGCGTGAGCAGAGTAGGGCGGCTTGGGACCAACTGGCTCACTATTCATTTGCTTTTGGACCATAGGTTTAAAAAAGGAATCTTGGACGGTTCCTCAAACTTGCAAATGTTGACGGCAAAAGCAAAAGGAGAGACGACTAGAAAAGTCAAACTTGTGGTATCCCAGTGATAGCTGTCAGGTTAAATGCAGATCCCCTCCTGGGCTGTTTTCAATTCGTGGGAAGCTTGAACTGTTGAAAATACATATTTTTTTTTTCCATCCAAATTGGAGGTGTCCAACCTTGGCGACTTGAAGACTTGCGGATTTCAACTCCCAGAAATCCCCAGCCAGATGAGAAGAAATGGCTCGAATTTGCAGATCGGTTTCCTCTGCAGGGGTGAAATCTACTTACCTTCTTTATCAGTTCGGAAGCGCAAGAATTGTAGCGGAAGGTGCACATACCTTCTGCACATGTGCAAAACCTTCTGCGCATTTTACAGAAGGTAAAAAACAACAACATTACTTCCTGGTTAAACCAGGAAGTAATGACACCCCTGGTTAAACCAGGAAGTAATGACACCCCGGCAGCGATCACTACTGGATCCCCGAACCACAAAGAAAAATCGCTACTGGATCAGGTGATCCGGTCCAATCCAGGAGCATTTCACCCCTGGTTCCCTGTCTGGCAATATAATACTACTTTTTTTTTTCCATTGATAATGTTATAGGACAGTGATGACTAACCTTTTTGCCATCGCGTGCCAGGGAGGGGGACGTGCATGCCCACACCCATAAGTCTATGCAGAAACGGGCCATTTTTGGCCTCCGGAGGGCCTCCTGGGGGGTAGGGAAGGCTGTTTTCGTCCTCCCCAGAGGCTCTGGAGGCTGGGGACAGCAAAAAATGGGCCTTCCAGTCCCACAGGAAGTTGGCAAACAGGCCATTTCTGGCCTCTGGGGGGCCTCTGGGGGGGTGGGGAAGGCTGTTTTTGCCCTCCCCAGACTCTTAGAGACATTCTGCAGGCTGGGGACAGCAAAAAACAGGCCTTCCCCACCACCCCCAAAGGCCCAACGGAGGCAGGAAACAGCCTGTTTCCCTACTTCTGGTGGGCCCAGAAGCCCTGAAAATGAGCTCGCGTGCCCACTGATATGGCTACGTGTGCCACCCGTGGCACGCGTGCCATAGGTTTGCCATCATGGAGTCTGTGATGGCTAACCTTTTTGCCATTGCGTGCCAAAAGCGGGGGAGCGCGGAGAGGTCACCCATGCGCGTGCCACCCCCATAATTCAATGTGCCCTGCCCCCGCGCATGTGTGCGCATGCCCCCCCGCTTTTAGCACACAATGGCACAGTGGGCCTGGTAGGCCCGTTTTTCACCTTCCCCAGACTCCAGAGGCTTTCTAGGAGCCTGGGGAGGGCAAAAACAGCCTTCTCCACTCCCCCTGGAGGCCCTCTGGAGGCTGGACACAGCCCATTTTCCAACTTCCAGTGGGACCGGAAGGCCCAAAAATCAGCTGGCCAGTGCACGCATGCGCACTGGAGCTGAGCTACGGCAATGCTCGCGTGCCCACAGGTATGGCTCCGTGTGCCACCTGTGGTACCCGTTCCATAGGTTCGCCATCACGGGTATAGACTCTCCTGTTCATGCAGGGAGTTGGACTAGATGATCTCCAAGGTCCCTTCCAGCTCTGTGCTCTACGTCCATGTGAACATGCACAGTTTTTCTCGTCCTCTCATTCCACCCAGCTGGAAATTTCCTATACATTTATTTTAGGATGCTGTAAATCTGCTGAAGTGGGTGAATAATGGCCAAGATAAGGGAGATGATGGAAGACTGGACTCCAGAGAAGTGGATAAATGGCCACACAGGTTTGAATGAGACCTGATCTATTCCATCACTTGTACACTGGGTCCCACCTGGGAGATGTTGCTTGAGAACGTGGGTTGAATTGATGGGAAAGTTGGGTTCCAACAGAAGGGAGATATTTGTTTTGGCAGCTGCAACTCCAGGCTAAATGCCAATTTCCAATCTCTGTTGATTGGATCGAAACCCTGTCCTGTCCCTCCTGAGATATGAATTGGGGGAGCGGGCTGTGGTATGTTTCCAGGACAAAGTTCCAGACTGTTTTCCATGGACGGGTTGCTTAATGGTCCTTGGTGCCCCCCCAGTCAGGGGTGAAATGCTCCCAGGTCAGACTGGATTGCCTGATCCGGTAGCGATGGCGGCGAGTCGTTCGGAGCAAAAATCCCTGCCTCCCCCGCCCCGCCCATGCCCAGCTGAGTTGCCTGATCGTCAGAGGTTTCCTACTTGAGCAGAAGGCTGGACTAGAAGACCTTCCAAGGTCCCTTCCAACTCTCTCATTCTGTTCTTAATGTCAGTTTCTTTTCCAGCTCAGACAGTTTTAAGTCCAACTTCATGTATTGTTTTGTTTCAAACCTGGCTTCTTGGGTTGATATGTTGCCATAATCTTCCTGGAGATGATGAGAGTGGAAAATGTAAGCCATTTGGAGGATACCTGATCGTGGAAGCCCATTTTAAACAGACTTTCCTTCCCCTGTTGTAACTTGGCTGCAATCTACCGTATTTTTCGGAGTATAAGATGCACCTTCCCCCCCTTGAAAGGGAATGAAAATTTGGGTGCGTCTTATACACCGAATGTAGCCCCACCCACCCACTGGCCCCCACCCTTTGGCCTCTGCCTCCCAGCAGTTTACCTCCTTGCAGCAAGCAGCAAGAAGAAACAGCCCATTTCAGCTTCAACACAGCCTAATTAGCACAAGCTCGCCAGGCTCAAGGTTGACTCAGCCTTCCATCCTTTCTAAGGTAGGTAAATTGAGGACCGAGTTGTGGGGGCAATAAGCTGACTTTGTATAAATATACAAAAGGATGAAGGCTATTGCTTAGCATATTGTAAGCCGCCCTGAGTCTCCGGAGAAGGGCGGCATATAAATCAATTTTTTTAAAAAAGAAAAGTTGATTGTCTGTTGGATCAGCCTCCCGACTCTCAGCTGTTTTGCTCTCAGCTGTTTTGCACGGGCCTCTGCTGCTTGCTGCAAGGAGGTATATTGCTGGGAGCAGGTTTTTTTCTTTCTTGTGCTAATCAAGCTATGCTGAAAATGAAAATACAGGCTATTTGCTGTTTGCTGCAAAGAGGCAAAATTGCAGGCTATTTGCTGTTTGCTGCAAAGAGGCAAAATTGCTGGGAGGCAGAGGCAGATTTCTTTTTCTTCTTTTCCTCATCAAAAAAGGTAGGTGCGTCTTATAGTCCGGATCATCTTATACGCCGAAAAATACGGTAGTTTACTGCTTCCAGGTTGATATCTTTTTCTCTGTCACTGACCAACTTGGCTCCCCCGTTTATAAATGTCTTTTGCCTTCTAGCCCTGAAGATGAAAATAAAGGAGGTGAAGAAAGAAAACGGGGACAAGAAAATCATCCCCAGGAAGAAGAAGGCTTTGAAACTGGGCACCATCAAGAAGAAAGAACTGAAGAAGCTCGTCTTGTACCTCAAGAACGGGGCAGACTGTCCTTGCCACCAGCTGGACAACCTCAGCCACCAGTTTCTCATCATGGGCCGCAAGGTGAAAACCCAATATCTGCTGACGGCCATCCACAAGTGGGATAAAAAGAACAAAGAGTTCAAAAAGTTCATGAAGAAGATGAAGACTCCAGAATGTTCCACATTCCAGTCTGTCTTCAAATGATCGGCTGGGGCTGGAGGAAAAGGGGACATGTTTTCATTTTATTTTTCATTAATAAAATTTTAATTTTTTTTTATATTTTATATATATATATATATATATATATAAAACAAATATATATATATATATATATATATATATATATATATATAACAGGCCCTGAACTTGCACAGACTGATTGGGTGGTTCACGTAACATTTTGGCTTCTTCAACTTTTGTGGATACTGATTTTTCTGCCTTCTTTTCCAATTTGTGCCTTTAGAGTTTTCTCGCATTCTTCTTGCCTGTTTCTCTCTTTCCCGCCCCCCCTCCAATCCCCAGTTCAAGGGCATCCACTGGGGAAGGAAGAAGGTGGGCAAAGAAGTCAAGATGGCGTCCGTGATCATGTGATCAAAGTCCCACCTCTTTTTTGACGTACATTGTGTGACACGTTAAAAAAAAAAATGGGGGGGGGGTAAGGCCAGTGGTGAAGTTCAAAAATTTTCTCTACCGGTTCTGTGGGCATGGCTTGGTAGTGGTGGAGTCATGTGACTGGGTGGGCGTGGCCACCTTTTAAAAAAAAAAAATTAACTAAAGAAGGTTTTAAAAAAGTTCCTATGATCAGCTGTGAAAATGAGCTGTGCCCGTGATCGTCAGAATGTTTTTTTAAAAAACTTCTTAAAGCATTTTTTTTTGCTACCAGTTCGGGGGAATACGTAGTAAAAAAATGCTTTAAAAAGTAGAAAAAAGGTTCCGACTATCGCACGGCACAGCTGATTGTCACAGCTGATTGTCACAGCTGATTGTCACAGCTGATTGTCGAAACCTTTATTTTTTTATTCTTTTAAAGCATTTTTTTTAACTAAAAAAGGTTTTTAAAAAGTTCCGATGATCAGCTGTGAAAATCAGCTGTGCCCGCGATCGTCAGAATGTTTTTTTAAAAAAATTTTAAAGCATTTTTTGTTTTGCTACCGGTTCGGGCAAATAGGTAGTAAAAAAATGCTTTAAAAAATAGAAAAAAGTTTCCCACGATTGCACGGCACAGCTAATTGTCACAGCTGATTGTCACAGCTGATTGTCACAGCTGATTGTCGGAATTTTTAAAAACTTTTTTAAAGCATTTTTTTTACTACCTATTCACCCAAACCGGTAGCATTTCACCCCTGGGTAGGGCTTCCCTCATATGGTTGCCGCTGCTATTTTTGATTTTCCTGCACCCCACCTCAATGTCTCTGTCTCGGTTATATCCTCATTAGGGAATGTTCAAAATATGCAAACATATTTATACACTTTTGGGGTGGGGGATTGTGCCCAGATCTCTCTACAACCAGCTAGAAAAATCAGCCAACTGCAGCACATCTATTGTAGCTTTCTGTTTTTATATATAAATATATATATATATATAAACCTGACTTTTTTTTTTTAAAAAAAAAATAGCATATATCACTTTTCACCTTTTTTTTTTTCTTAAGGGACTATTCCCCAAGTTCTCCTTTTTCCTGGATTAGTTCCATGTAGATGGTCCATCTTAGTCAGGGAACATGTGATAGAAGGCATGATAACATTAAGAATGCTACGTAGCAGGTTGGATTTGGCCATGTAACGATGCCCCTGTGTGATAGTGAATACGATAACAAATGACAATGTACAGTGAATCTTCACTTATTCGATCGGTATTTTTTGCAAGGCGTAGAATAGAATAGAATAATTTTATTTCTATACCGCCCTTCTCCCGAAGGACTCAGGGCGGTGTACAGCCTATTAAAAGCACAAGACAAACATCAATTAAAATAATTTAAAATTATTACATAATTTGGCTCAATTTAAAACCCCAGAAATTTAAAACACCCAATTTAAAATTATTATGTTGATAGCCCGGCCTGGCGGAACAACAGGGTCTTGAGTGCACAGCGAAATACCCGGAGGTCGGAGATCTTACGCACTTCATTCCACAGGGCTGGGGCTCCCACAGAGAAGGCCCTCCCCCTGGGTGTCGCCAGCCGACATAACTTGGCCGATGGCACCCTGAGGAGACCCTCTCTGTGGGAGCGAACTGGCTGGTGGGAGGCTATTGGTGGCAGAAGTCGGTCTCGAAGGTACCCGGGTCATAAGCCATGGAGCGCTTTAAAGGTGGTGACCAACACCTTGAATCACACCCGGAAGACCACTGGGAGCCAGTGCAGCTCGCGCAGGAGGGGCGTCACATGGGCGCAACAAGTTGCGCCCATAACCACCTGCGCGGCCGCATTCTGGACCAGTTGGAGCCTCCGAGTGCTCTTCAAGGGGAGCCCCATGTAGAGAGCATTACAATAGTCAAGCCAAGAATTACCGAAAAGGAGGTGTCCGTCTACACTGTAGAAACGAAAAGAAATGGAAACAACACTAGATTGTTTCAACTCGGCTCTGAAGGATGCAGTAAGAAAATTACTAGGACTACCGAAGCATTCATTTATGTAATGCTAGTGGGTTTTACCCCCGGGAAGGTGGGTTTTTTTATTTAGATGAATGGCATTTTTGCCTGTTGAGCAGAAATTGCTAACATGAACCTGTAGGCAGAACCACTTGGAAATTTAGAGAGATCTGGAGGCAGATCATTTAATCCCTAATTCTTCTTTCTGCACCCCCAAATAAGGGAAGAGGGGAGAGAGAGAGAAAAAAAATTGAGAGGAGCATTCAGTTTCTTCAATAACCCAGAAAACAAAAGAGGAAAGTGTCATATAAGGACAGTTCAAGAGATTGAATTTCAACAGATTAATTTTAGAATAACAGAGTTGGAAGGGACCTTGGAGGTCTTCTAGTCCAACCCCCCACCCAAGTAGGAGACCCTACACCATTTCTGACAGACGACAGTCCAGTCTCTTCTCGAAAGCCTCCAATGATGAAGCTCCCACAACTTCCGAAGGCAACTTCTCTTCCATGGGTTGATTGTTCTCACTGTCAGAAAATTTCTCCTTATTTCTAGGTTGAATCTCTCCTTGTTCAGTTTCCATCCATTGTTCCTTCTCTGGCCTTTGGGTGCTTTGGAAAATAGCTTGACCCCCTTCCTCTCTGTGGCAGCCCCTCAAATATTGGAACTCTGCTCTCATGTCTCCCCTGCTCCTTCTCTTCACTAGAGTAGCCATGCCCAGTTTCTGTAACTGTTCATGTTTTAGCCTGTAGTCCTCTAGAAATGGGGGAGGAACGATCCATGGGGAGGGGTACATGGTGATATTGAGACTTAATCAGTGGTGGGATTCAAATAATTTAACAACTGGTTCTCTATCCTAATGATTTCTTCCAACAACCAGTTCACCAAACTGCTCAGAAAGTTAACTACCGGTTCTCTCGAACTGGCTGAATCCCATCACTGGACTTAATTATATATAGACTCCAGACTACTTTCACACAACCAGATTCTGATAGATTCTGTAATTAATTTGGGATTGGGGGCTGTGTGAGTTGAAACAAAAAATGGGAGAGGGAGGAAAGAGTATATGGGTGGTCAGAAAAATAAAAGATGGACAATCCCAACATCTTTCTTCCTGCCCACTGCTTACCTGTCCTAACCCCACCTATAGAGTTACATAACATTTTCATGAAAAAGGTGGCCCTTGACATAAACTTACCCAACCTCATCCTGGATTGGGTGGGTTAGCAGCAGAAATATAATTGCTTGCATAAACCTTCACCCTTTGCAAGGCGATCCATCTGGCATTAACACCTTCCCAGAAATGGAATACGTTGTGTGCCATAATGTGAAAAACGTAGGGATCCCAAAGGGCAACCTCAAAATAGGGATATTTCTCATACCTGGCAGTATTTTCATTTTTACTACAAATGCTGATATTTGGCCATAATTTGATTGAACCACAATGAGATTTCACATGGCTCATGACAGCCATCTCTGTTCAGCCATTTACTTACGATACAAATATTGTGCATTTCTATCTCTCTATCTATCATCTATCTATCATCTATCTATCTATCTATCTATCTATCTATCTATCTATCTATCACCTCTCTCTCTCTCTCTCTCTCTCTGTATCTCTCTATCTATCATCTATCTATCATGTCTCTCTATCATCTCTATCTATCATATCTATCATCTCTCTCTCTATCATTTCTCTCATTATCTATCTATCTATCTATCTATCTATCTATCTATCTATCTATCTATAAGGGACGCAGTGGCTCAGTAGCTAAGACACTGAGTTTGTCGATCGAAAAGTGGGCAGTTCAGTGGTTCGAATCCCTAATGCCGCGTAATGGGATGATCTCCCATTACTTGTCCCAGCTTCTGCCAACCTAGCAGTTCTTGAAAGTCCGTAAAAAAAATGCAAGTAGAAAAATAGGGGACCACCTTTGGTGGGACGGTAACAGCGTTCCGTGCGCCTTTGGCATTTAGTCATGCTGGCCACATGACCACGGAGACGTCTTCGGACAGCGCTGGCTCTTCGGCTTAGAAACGGAGATGAGCACCGCCCCCTAGAGTCGGGAACGACTAGCACATATGTGCGAGGGGAACCTTTACCTTTACCTTTTACTATCCTTCAGCCTTACATGGAGTTAGATCATAGAAAGGAACAAGATCCTTAGTCTTTTCCATTCCATGAATGACTCTATCTGGATTTTTTATTTGGTAGCTTCCTTTTTGCTCGATTTCTTGGTATTTCCATCCACCACTTGGTGTTTCCATGTGCCTCTTCCTTAGTGGATAATTTTGTGGGTAAATGTGAGATAATAAATCTCGAGAGATGCGAGTGGACTGGAGTTTGTGCCTTTAAGAAGTTCTGTTCTCTTCTGTTTTCATTTTTCTGCTGTTAACCATTTTCTCTAAAGATAGCCTCACTGAAGAAGGAGGGGAATATATCCTGAAGGAATCTTGCATTCTTTTTAGACCATTCTGGTATCTTTGCACGAAGTTCTAAAATGACCACTGTTGAGGTTTTCAAACTCCAAAAGGCCATGGCAGCAAGTTAATCCTCTGCAGAAGGCCACTGATGGAATAATAATAATAATAATAATAATAATAATAATAACAACAACAACAACAACAACAACAACAACAACAACAACAACATAAGCTTTGTTTTCCAGTCTTATTTTGAAATACTGTCAGGTGCTATCCATCATGGATATTGGGGAAAAACAGGAAGTTGGCTCATAATTGAAAGCTGAGAAAGAGATGATCCAACATAACAATTGTTTGAATTATGTTTTGCTGCCAAATCCTTACTTTTGCCGTTTTCTGACTCCCTGCCAATGTCATGTTTCCCAGACAATGACACAATATTGCTTGTTATTTCAAATAAGCCACGATGTAGAAAAGTTAGTGCAGATGTTTCTGGCTTCGTCAATGCGTTTCCATCTTACAACTTTGCATCTTTGTTTGTGCTTTCCCTCTTAAATATTGAGATTCTAAAACTTGGCTAAAGCAATGGCTTTCAGACAATTAGGTGTGTGTGTGTGTTTGAGGATGTTGTGGGTGATGAGATGACCACAAAAAAGTGCAAAAAAAGATGCATCTCTAAAAGAACCAGAGAGCCCCTTGACAATTGAAAGGCAAGTCTATCCCCATTCTCAAAAGTTCTTCTCGTTTGTTGATGCATCAACAAAGCTTATTGCCCGATCGATGCTCCATTTTATAAAATTAAGAATGTTTCCAAATCCTTGCTTTCTTTTAAGAAAGTTTATTACTAGTCTTGTGCATAGTAGATTCACACAACTGCTAGACTAGACTAAAATGGAGCTCGATAGTAGTTGAGCTTACTTATGGGAATCTACCATTATTTGTGCTCCCTCAAGGTCCCTCAGACCATCTCAATATGCCAAATAATAGTTTCTTTGGGTATTACATATTAAGGATACACAACCAATGTGATTTGTTAACCAGGTAAAGATTTAATCTGTTGCATGGATGATATGGGTTAGAGAGTTGAATTTGTTTCAGGTCCGGTGGGAATGGCCTGTTTTATTGGACAAATCAACCATCTGCATGTTGTCACATATAGGTTGGGTTCATACAACATGCAGTTCCCTAACCTGTCTGTGACTCAGACAAATGGTTATCCAACATCTTCTTAAAAACGTCCAGTGTTGAAGCACTCACTTCTGGAGGCAAGTTGTTCCACTGATTCATTGTTCTAACAGTCAGGAAATTTCTCCTTAGTTCTAAGTTGCTTCTCTCCTTGATGAGTTTCCACCCATTGCTTCTTGTCCTGCCTTCTGGGTGCTTTGGAGAATAGCTTGACTCCCTCTTCTTTGTGGAAGCCCCTGAGATACTGGAACACTGCTATCATGTCTCCCCTAAGTCCTTCTTTTCATTAAACTAGACTCATCTCAGAAAGTTCTTCCAAGTAAAAATGAATGGGATTACATCCTTCAGGACTCCAATTTTCCTAAGAGATGCCATTGACAAGAGAGGAAATCTGCTCCTGGGATGCCATACCTGGCCTCCTTCCTTTCCTCCTGTAGTGCAAATATTGGGAAGTCCAAGTCTCCAGTTTACCTGGAAGATGTGTAATCGCTGACTCCCAGCACTGACTATCAAATGACCTTCAGAAGAAGAAAGACTTATATACAGCAATCTCATTTCTCCCAGCAAGCAACACAACACCAGTATGGTTAGTTCTGATGGCCTGCTCCCAATTGACTCCTTCCAGTTAATATCTATTAGGGGCTACGGATCTGATTCAAATCATCGATCCAGCTAAAAATGCTGATGAGATCTAATCCCATCGTTTCAGCAAATGGTTCATACAAAGAGTTTATTTTCCCTGCCCCTATTCTTTGTCCAAGCTGCTCTCCCTAAATCACTGCTATCTGATGAGAAACGTGAGTTTTTCCCTCACTTGATGGTCTCTCGTTCTCCTGATCCCAGGCCACTCACGGAAGGTCCCAGCAACAATATACATTTGAAGGAACCATACCTGAACTCCAAGATGAATCTATGGTTATTTTTCCCGACTTCTGCATGCCCAGATGAAATTTCGATCCTCTTGGCTTCTAAATAATCATCACCACAATATATTTTTTTTAACCCCTTCTGTGGTCGTGACAGTATGTTTCTGGGGTACACAAAGAGGTGTGAGATTGAAGGAGGCTTGGCATATTGAAGGCAAATCAGACAGATTGTTCAAAGTCGTTGCTAAGAAAGGGGGTGACATTTAAAGGGGGACAGGAAGAGGACTTGAATAGAAAGCTGTGCTTGACTCTTAACTTGGCATTCAAGGAATCACACTTTCCGTCCGCGGAAATTCCAGGGAGAAAGGAGATATGAGCCAAGTTATAATGGCGGGATTCAATTGTTTTTACTACCGGTTCTGTGGGCGTGGCTTGGTGGGCGTGGCATGGTTTGGTGGGTGTGGCAGGGGAAGGATACTGTAAAATCTCCATTCCCTCCCCACTCTAGAGGAAGGATACTGTAAAATCTCCATTCCCTCCCCACTCCAGGGGAAGAATACTGTAAAATCTCCATTCCCTCCCTACTCCAGGGGAAGAATACTGTAAAATCTCCATTCCCTCCCCACTCCAGGGGATGTTACTGCAAAATCCGCATTGCCTCCAGATCAGCTGGGACTCAGGAGGCAGAGAACAGATGGGGGCGGGGCCAGTCAGAGGTGGTATTTATCGGTTCTCCGAACTACTCAAAATTTCCGCTTCCGGTTCGCCAGAACTGGTCAGAACCTGCTGAAACCCACCTCTGGGGTAGGTGCTTGATACCTACGGCTTGTGATTTGATTCGTTGGTTAACTTCTCTACCGTGCTAATGAAAACAACTACCCCAATTCGATTTCGATGGCATGTTTAGCTGCCAGCAAAGTCTGGATCAACTTCCTCTTATGTTGTGTCAACCCTGGGAAATAAAGCCCCTGCTTTTCATTTTCAAACAGGAATGCATATTTGTATCGAATTAAAACTGCTTATCTGCCGTTTCTGCCTACGACTTTGGAGAGAGCAAGTATGCGTGTTTGTTTTTCTAGAGTGTTTCCTCAATTATGTATTCATTTAACTAAAATTGCTGAATTAACCAGTCCCTTGGCCTGTATGAATTCTTTTTGGCGGGGGCGGGAAGTTGGATGGCTTGTTCGTTTTCCCTTCAGAGAATGAGATTTTCTATTTCAGGTTTGTTGTGTTTTGAACAACCTGCGTGGCCTTTGAAGAGGGAGGGATTGAACCAGCTGTTTCAAAATAAATCCGGATAGCAACAGAACCAAACTGAAGATTGTCAACTCCCTGCCATCATTTTTTTAATATTAAAAAAAATAGTTTGAAAAAAAGAAAACGTCTGTGGATGGAATAGAATAGAATAACAGAGTTGGAAGGGACCTTGGAGGCCTTCTAGTCCAACCCTCTGCCCAGCCAGGAAACCCTACACCACTTCAGACAAATGGTTATCCAACATCTTAAAAACTTCCAGTGTTGGAGTATTCACAACTTCTGGAGGCAAGTTGTTCCACTGATTAATTGTTCTAACGGTCAGGAAATTTCTCCTTAGTTCTAAGTTGCTTCTCTCCTTGATGAGTTTCCACCTGTTGCTTCTTATCCTGCCTTCAGGTGCTTTGGAGAATAGCTTGACTCCCTCTTCTTTGGGGCAGCCCCTGAGATATTAGAAGACTTCTATCATGTCTCCCCTGGTCCTTCTCTTCATCAGCCTCCCCGGGCTCCGGAGGCTTTCCTCAAGGGCGAAAACAGCCTCCCCAGGCTCTGGAGGCTGGACCGAACTTCTGGTAGAACCATTTTTTGCCCTCCCCAAGTTTCTCTGCACGCCCTGCACTTACCTGGATCCAAAATGGGCCACATGGGGACTCCTGGGATGGTTGGGGAGGGGTGGACAGGGTCAGCCAGGAGTGGGATTTGGGGGTTCTCCGAACTGCACAGAATCTTAGCTAGAGGTTCTCCCAAACCCCCGTGAATCCCCAGCAGCCCACCCTTGGTTTTAGAGCAAGTTGCTAGCACTTTGAGCTTCAAACTTCAAAAGAACTGTTTAAAAATACCTTTGTACCACTGAAGAATCCATCACTTTTGACTATCTGCTTTTCTGGGCTCGTTGGCTGATTGGATTGGCTCATGGACATGTTTAGCCCCTCAGAAGTATTTTATGTACTGCTCATACAGCCATTAAAAACAAAGATATGATTGTGTTAAGGATATTGTTGTTGTGTTACCAACCAGCAGAGCGTAGAGCACAGAGAAACGTTGCTGAGAGCAATGAATAAGAGATGTGCAAACTGGTTTATCAAAAGTTTACTTTATAGTGAAAAAACAATCTCATAGTCTTTAAATCAATCCAAGTCTTTGTCAGTTAAATCAGTCCAGTAGATACAAAAATTCTTCTTACCACACAAACAGTAGTTGGTTAGAATAACAAACTCCCTCTGGTTCACAAACCACGATGGTAGCAGATCCATCCAACGATGATAGCACAATGGTAGCAACTCTCACACAATGATAGCATATCATCAACTGAATACGTTACAGTACCTTTCTTAAATACGTTTACAACTAGTGATTATCTAATTACAACATGACTCAGCATTACAACGAATCAGCAGGAAAACTTTAAAGTCACACAATACATATTCATATTAAAGTCACAGAACACATATAGTGCCTGGACAACTTGTTAGGCTCAAACCATATCCTAACAAATTGCATATAATATGTTTGCATTGTGTTAACGCGATGAAAAAAGGCTTGCTTACTACAAATACTGTGGGTGTGAGAGATTGACAAGGAAACATTTTAAAGAAACTTTAACGCATTGTAAATCTGGCTGGAAATATAATCTTACTTTTTTTTTTTCAAGGTTATCTGCTATCCCAGACTAGCATTGAAGATCCCTGTTTAAAAATCCATGTGGTTCTTCTTTGGTTGCTCAGCTAGATGGAACTTGACAGTATCGGTGGGGAAAAGGAGCATTTTTAAACTGGGGGAAGAATGAAAAGGATTGAAATGTGTTTGAAAGAGTGCATGGACTGTAGACAGGTTGGCTGCAGTTCAGCTACAGAGCAGCCTGAGAGATAAGGAATGATAAATATAAAAGGGTATGGCTTTAATAGAGCATCACACAAAACAGAGCAAACCAGGTGAGCAAAATTGCAGGAAAATAAATCTTTCTCCTCTCCCCCCCCCTTTCTCTTTTCAAAGTAAACCTGCCTAAACAAATTGTGAGATGCAAAGCAGAGACATTTTGAAGATGTCTAACCTGGTTTTTTTAAAAAGGGGACGCGGTGGCTCAGTGGCTAAGACGCTGAGCTTGTCGATCGAAAGGTCGGCAGTTCAGCGGTTCGAATCCCTAGTGCCGCGTAACGGGGTGAGCTCCCATGATTTCTCCCAGCTTCTGCCAACCTAGCAGTTCGAAAGCACGTAAAAAATGCAAGTAGAAAAATAAGGACCACCTTTGGTGGGAAGGGAACAGCGTTCCGTGCGCCTTTGGCATTGAGTCATGCCGGCCACATGACCACGGAGACGTCTTCGGACAGCGCTGGCTCTTCGGCTTAGAAATGGAGATGAGCACCGCCCCCTAGAGTCGGGAACGACTAGCACATATGTGCGAGGGGAACCTTTACCTTTTTAAACCTGTTTTTAAGTGGGAGAGTGTCTTAGATTCAAAGCAATCTTCCCTTTTGGGCAAGTGGGATCATCATGACCTTCGTAGCCACAGCTGGATATTTGAAATACTTGTATATTTCTTTAAAACCACAGAAGTAGTCCCACACACACATTCCCATGTAGCTTTCCTGACTCTCTTTTGCTTATTTTTTTTTTTAATTTTTTTTAATCTTGTGCTTGAATACTGATCTTGGTTTTTTGTGCATTTAATAAAAAGATGATGATAGCAGCAGATATTTCTCTCTCTGGACACAATGAGTAATTAGCTGCACTGAACTCTGCATTGGTAACAGGAAGGGCATCCGGCCAGTAAACACTCAGCTGCCCCGACTCCACCCCAATGTAAGGGATTACGGCAGGGGTGAAATTCAAAATTTTTCCCTACCGGTTCTGTGGGCATTGCTTGGTGGGCATGGCAGGAGAAGGATATTTCAAAATCTCCATTCCCACCCCACTCTGAGAATACCCCAGAGGTGGTATTTGCCGATTCTCTGAACTACTCAAAATTTCCGCTACAGGTTCTCCAGAACCTGTTAGAACCTGCTGGATTTCACCCCTAGATTACGGGGTCATTAAAAGACACACATACACATATACCCACACACGTATATGTGTGTGTGTTTTACTCTGCTAGTTGTAGCTGACTTTACGGAGCAACGCTCATCTCTGTTTCTAGGCAATTGAGCCAACGCTGTCCGAAGACGTTTCCGTGGTCATGTGACTGGCACAGGTTTCTATGGTCATGTGACTGGCAGACATCATGCCGCAGCTCAGAATGTGTGACAAAACACAGAGCGCTTTTACCTTCCCATCAAAGGGTACCTATTTATCTACTCGCATTTACATGCTTTCAACCTGCTAGGTTGGCAGGAGCTGAGGCAAGTGACTGGGGCTCACTCCATCACGCGGTGGTAGGACAGACCTTCTCTAACGTCTTTTAAGCCATTGAGCCACCACGCCTCCACAGGCGATGGAACTGTACTGAATAATAATCAGTGGGATGAACTCCTTGCCAATAGGAGTGAAGAGAAGATTATAGTTGGATGAAGAGCACCCAATACCCATCGCCCACGTCTTTGACCTTAAAACATTCGTTGTAGACTAAACATCTACACTGATCTTGCTCCCTTTCCACATTAACATTCTCGGAGGAATGCATGTTTTGCAAAGTGTGGTGGTACTTCTCAAAATACTCCAGAGCCTTTGTAGCTTGGCAAAGCATCCCTTGCCCATAATTACTCTAAACCCCGAGTGCTGAAAAGTTTATGCTAGTTCTCCCTTTCCATTTCCTCCACCAGCCTTCTCGTTTTCTTGAAATGTTTATTTAATAATGCCAAAAAGAGCTATTAAAGCTTCCTGGGGTTAAATGTTTGCTAAACACTCTGTCAGTACTGCTCCGTTTGACAATGCCTGGGTGACAACAGGAGAGGCTAAACTTTTAGTGTCTCTGAGGACAGTGAGAAAATGGCTCTTCAGTTGTTCTCAGCACCTCTAGAGATAGTCCCAGTTGTTCCCCCAGTAGAATGGAGGTTTGGGGCCAGAATGATGGACATCAAAGGGATTCATCCAGCAGATCCAGTGCTGGTTAAAAGAGCAAGGTCACCAAGATGTCCTCTGTGGGCCCAACTGGTTTTAATTAAATCACTGGATGGGGCCCCAGAGAAGGCTGGATGGATTACACTTTGAGGGATAACCTCATACTTTGATCTATTATCAATATCTCCATGCATCAGTTATGGGAGATGTCGCTTTAATATAATGGCATAGCCCTGAGATATCTCAACACATCAACACAAGTTTAGAAGAGAGCTGGTTGGGGAAAATGGCTTTATCTAGCTTTGCATCAGATTTGTCCAGAGCAGGGGTCTCCAACCTTGGCAACTTTAAGATTTGTAGACTTCAACTCCCAGAATTCCTCAGCCAATTTGCTGGCTGAGGAATTCTGGGAGTTGAAGTCCACAAATCTTAAAATTGCCAAGGTTGAAGACTCCTGGTCCAGAGGGTACATTTGAACAAAGATAGCTGGGTCCTAAGAAGGTACTGCTTTCCTGGAAGAAGCTGAAAAAATCCAGAAGCAGTCTGCAAAGGACAATGAGTGTCCTATATTGTCAATTTCAAGTAAGGTTCACCTTAGTACCCCAGAAATATTTTGGAAGTAGCTGTGCTTTAGGTTATAGCAAATATCTACTTTCCTCCATGCATGCTGAGGTCAACAAACCATAATTATAAACAGATAATTGGTCCATTAAAAGGGATGTGGTGGCTCAGTGGCTAAGATGCTGAGCTTGTCGATCAAAAGGTTGGCAGTTCAGCAGTTCGAATCCCTAGTGCCACGTAAAGGGGTGAGCTCCCATTACTTGTCCCAGCTTCTGCCAACCTAGCAGTTTGAAAGCACGTAAAAAATGCAAGTAGAAAAATAGG